GCTGCGTAACTTGGACAACAAGGTATGAAATAATACCTGATGTTGATTAAAAAGTCACTCACTTTTAGCAGGATGGACAGTCATTCTTCGTCACATTGTTCAAAGCCTGGTGCCATAACGCGGTGGCTACTTTCTCACTTTGCCTACTCGCCCAGGCATACGAGCAAGCATACCACCTGCTCCAAGTTTTGTATGTTACTAGCTTGTCCCTGAGAGATCCCTTCACTGACGATCATAGTGCCGACCTCGAAATGACAGTCAACACGCTTATCCAGATCGACAAATTGGTGCAGCTGCTGGAGTCGCCCGTCTTCACATGTAAGCTAAATGCTCATCTTGGCTGCAGGATTGGCTAACCTCGCGCTCAGACCTCCGCATCCAGCTTCTTGAACCAGAGAAGTACCCACACCTTTACAAGTGCCTGTACGGACTTCTCATGCTCCTTCCACAATCGTCCGCTTTCGCGGCTCTTAAGAACAGGCTGAACAGCGTGTCTGCTATTGGCTATCTGCACATTGCTCCACGCACGTATGTACCCCAATCCAATACCCTGAACCATTTGAGGCAAAAGAGCTCAGAAGTCGGTACCTCCAGCGCACCACAAGGCCCATCTGCATCCGGATTTGAGCGTCCCAACCGGCTCAAGGCGAGAGAAGAAGGCAGCGTCAAGTGGACGGAGCTCCTTGACCGGTTCAAGGCAACACAGGAGAGAGCCAGGCGTACCCAACAGCATGCGACCTTTGGTGGAGACGGTCCGGCCGGTCTCGACACAGTTCAGGAGAAGGACTCCAAGGGCCCGCCGCCCGTGCCGCCAAAGAACGCAGCGCTACGACCAAACTCACCCGCCGCGGCGATGAGGCCGCCGGTAGCTGCTGCTGCGTCGAATGCAGCTCAAGGTCACAAACCTAGGTCCAGCCTGAGTAACCTTGGACGGTTCGCTGGAGGGGTGGCTGGGCGGAACAGGAAGAAATAGGGTGTGAATTGCCTCAATGTTTCACGCTTGGCGTATCGGGCATACGAAAAGCATTGTGGGAGTTTTTTGAGCATGTACCGGCGTTTGCTTGGTCCAGGGTGCACGATTCAGCGATGTTTGCCCTTCCTGTATCTCACCGTGTCATCAGTCTTCTCTTTAGATGTAGACAAGGCAGCTTCTTCCCCATCCTGGCTGCGATGCAGCACCCAGCTTGCAACAATCTCCTTGATCTCGGGCTTCTTCTTCTCGACTCGCTTCGCCTCTTGAACCTTTCTGACATAGCCACTGTACACGACCACTTCGGCGATAGCAACAGCAAGTGAACTGCCCATGGAGAGTCCTAGCCTCTTGCCAACCGACCAGTGACGTGCGGCGACCCACACAAAGACAGCAACACAGACAACGGATATGAGGACGTTGATGATCAGGATAATCTGTCGGTGCACCTCTTCGTAGGACACATCGTCCACCTCGTCAACACCAATGCTAAAATGGTCGGGCATGCGGCTGCGGCTGTTGGGGAAGCGCTGGGTAAAAGTCTCGCGTGCGGGAGGAGGGTTCAGCATGCGCTCGTAGGAGCGGGCTTCTTCTTCGGCGCGCAGGCGGGCCATGAGGGCGAGGTATTCGGGGGTCTGCTGCTTCTTGGGCGGCGGCGGCGGTACGTAGATTGTGGTGTTGCACAGGAGCGCATTCAGAGAGGTCGGTAATGCGGCACCTACGGCAGCGTCATCGCTGGAGGCTGCAGGCAGCTGCTTGACGAGTCTCGAAAGGCCGATCAGCTGGCTGTGTGAGACGGGGTTTCCAGGCTTGGGGTCGGCGAGAGCGGGCTCAGACGGCGCCTGCAGCTTCGAGTAGTCCTCAGGCAGTTCGTCTGCCACCATTGACAGGGCCCGGACTATGCCGGGGGTCATGGTGAGCAGGACCATGGCTGTGGTGTGCGTGCATGTGCTGTGCCTGTGTCGGTGACGCGCTGTCAGATGGCGGCCGACGCGACAATTACTCGCGTTGAAGTTCTTGGCGTATTCATCATGACTTCTGGTAAAACTTCCCTCGCACCATTGATAGCGGCTGCGCCCGGCCCTCTCCTCCGGACCACCTCCACGTCTCTGGGGACAACTCAATTGCAGCTGCACCGTCCTTGCCCCATCTCAGTTCCGCCCACAGACCCAATGATGCGCCGCTCAGGTCGGCTCGTGAGCAGCCTTGCCCAGCCATCGTGCACCGCCGCCCCAACGTCACGACTCTCGACACCAACACCCACATGTCTCTACCGTAGCGCCGCGCTGCGCACACACGAGCCCCATGTCTCGACACACCACTTTGCCCGGCGGCGGAACCAGTCGTCATGGGCTGCCGCTGCGCAGGCTGCCAGTGTTGCCCAGCACATCAGGGCCGCGCCGGCACCAGATGCGCCGCTGAAAATGGATCCCTTCCAGACGGTTGCCCGCGAGATGAAATTCCTCACAGGGAACATCCGCTCGCTGCTGGGCTCGGGGCATCCCACGCTGGATACGGTTGCGAAGTACTACACCCAGAGCGAGGGCAAGTACGTGCGCCCTATGCTTGTCCTGCTCATGAGCAGAGCCACGGCATTGACACCCAAGATTGCGCGCGGCGGCAGCGGCAGCAACAGCGTCGACCACCCCATTACCAGCGCCTCGATTCTCAGCGACGACAATCCGGACGCAAGCATATCCAACATCGCACACGACCAAGCCTACACTCCCGCCGACTCCGACATCCTCCCCTCGCAGCGCCGCCTTGCCGAGATTACAGAGCTCATCCACACCGCCTCGCTCCTCCACGACGATGTCATCGACCACTCCGTTGCCCGTCGCGGCGCTGCCTCCGCGAATGTTGAGTTCGGCAACAAGATGGCCGTTCTGGCCGGCGACTTCCTGCTCGGCCGCGCCTCCGTCGCGCTAGCCCGTCTACGAGACCCCGAAGTGACTGAGCTGCTCGCGACCGTCATCGCCAACCTGGTTGAGGGCGAGTTCATGCAGCTCAAGAACACGGCCCGCGACGAGAAGAACCCCGTTTGGACCGAGGACACTGTGACCTACTACTTGCAAAAAACATACCTCAAGTCTGCGTCGCTCATCTCGAAATCGTGCCGTGCCGCAGCCGTACTGGGTGGGAGCACGCCTGAAGTTGTCGAGGCCAGTTACCAGTACGGAAAGAACCTCGGCATGGCGTTCCAGCTGGTCGACGACATGTTGGACTACACAATAAGCAGCGAGGAGCTTGGAAAGCCAGGTGGTGCCGATTTGGAGTTGGGACTTGCGACGGCGCCGCTGCTGTTTGCGTGGAAGGATAACAAGACATTGGGCAAGCTGGTGGGCAGGAAATTTGGAGAGAAGGGCGACGCGGAAAAGGTGAGATTTTGTATAACTACACAGACTGAGGAACTCATGTTAACGTTACAATCTAGGCTCGCGAAATCGTCCTCGCCAGCACCGGCCTCCAGCAAACACGCGCCCTGGCTCAGGACTACATCGACAAGGCCATCGCCGCCATTGCGCCATTCCCCGACAGCGAGGCGAAGAACGGTCTGATCGAGATGTGCACCAAGGTGCTGCAGCGGAGAAAGTAGAGCGAAGAAGACTGAAATAAGTCTGATACGTTGTTGTATAAGTACTGTACATTTGCGAGCATAAGGCGCACATGAACGCGTCTGGCGCGAGAACAGGGCGGTCGGTCCGTCTGTTGATTTGGATTCTGGCTGTATATATATTGTTATCTACACTACTAGACAAAAGCGTGGTGCGGAGTATGACAAAAAAGAGCTGTTCAATCCAATTAGGCTACGAATCCCGAGTTGACATCACACTCTGGCGGTGCGCATATGCTTGTTGAGCGTGATCGAACGAGCCTTGTCCGGCGCCACAAGGTTTGGCTACGAGTCGCAGGACCCAACACTTTGTTCGTTGCCACAGTCCAGCCTTGAAGGAACCCCCCTTCCCAGGGGCAAAAAGAGCAAGAAAAGAAAACCAACCCATCTCCCTCCAGCATCGAGCCCCCAGCAAAGGCCAGAGCGAGCCTGTCATGCCATTGCCTTTTCTCGCAGGTGAAACCTATCCGCCAGCCGTTCCTTGTCTTCTAGTCAGGTTTCATCATGACGAGCTCGCAGCTTCCGACCCTATTGGTTGGTGTGAGCTACAAGCCACCGCCAAGCAGGAATCGCAACCTGCTGGATTCGATGAAAAGATGGCCGAACAGACAGGACTATAGAGTAGGTACAGAGTCTGTGATTTTTCACTTTTGCGATAACGATCTGCTTGCGCGGTGCTGCAGTGAGGTGTGGTATCTCTGTGCTCTCAGACAGCTAAGCATTTATTGTCCAGAACAAGCCCTTGCAATTAAGCTTCCTGAGCTCTTCAATGGGGGCATACACCTTGCAGTATCTTTCAGCCCACTCCATACAGGGTCGTAGGCAGCTGTGCGTTTGATGCATGCTGCCGCTTCTTGTAGCCAGAGAGTGTACTTATTTCGAAAGGCAATGCTTTGATCAAAGGTCCTCAAGGTTGATTGGCGCAGACCTTGAGATATTATAGCTCTTGAAAGTGCATACGCAATTCGCTGGTTCACTGGTACCTTCGATCTCTTCTTATTGTATCCTTCAAAATTTGCGAAAGGACACATAGAGCTTACAAAGCGCAGCAATTGCTAGACAGTGTACTACCCACTAGAGCATAGGTTGATGGGTGAAACGCCTCTACGCAACTTTCGATGCCGGAAGGCTCCGCTCATCTTTCTCTACTCGGCGCTTCGCATGAAGGGCTAACATCAATGTACCTACTTTGGCTCATTCAATATGCAGTCCGGCAAGCTGTCGATAGCAACGATTATTCTCGAGGAACGATGCTGCGTTACACTAGCGTGGGGATCCACGTGGGGCCCACACCCACGACCTGCGCCTTCCCGCAATCGGACATGGCGTAAAAACCTAAGCAAAAAAAATCTCCATGCCGCGAACAGCTCTGGGAACGTAATGGCAAGCAAAAAGTTAGCTGTCTGGAGCAAAAGATGACCTAACCAGGGGTCGAACCTGGAATCTCTTGATTGCCGATTTAATCGTAGTCAAGCGCCTTGCCATTGGGCCATTAGGCCAGTTGGATAACTGATTTGATGAAAGACATAGATTTTAGAATCAATATAAAGCAGAAAAATCTGTCTTGCGGCCAGAGGATCATCATCTTCACCCCCTGTGGCTCCACTCCGTGTCGTTTGTTGCTGTACAATCGTGCTGTATCGGTGCTTGGAATTTTCTAATTCGGGAAAATGCTTGGACTTCGATCTGGGGTAATCACCTCGGCCCTGCAAAATGTAGCAAATAAATGTCTCCGTGGTACTACAGGATGTGGTTCAATACATGTGTGAGTCCAGCGTGTCAGAATCTCAGGTATTCTCGATCGAGGTGATTGGACGATCTCGCCGAATCTTTTGTGATCCTGGCAGCATCTCGGTGGGACTCCGCGTGTGGATTTAAACTCCAGTTACTCACGCAGCACAGCGCTCGTTCCGTTCTGTATGCGCGGTTGGAGAAGAGCATAGAAGACAAACAGGAGCATTTGGATCGGGCTCTCTCAGGTTTGGTTCATGGAGTTTGGGTACATCAATGACCCTTTAAGATGGCTTCACCAGGATCTCGTCCTGTTGACCTCTGTGCTGCTCACATTTGTATTCCTCAGAAGAAATGTGACTTGTCTTGAGTGACGCCGGCTTACAACAAGATGTAGACTTGTTTCATTACAGGGGGTCAAAACTGTATCGATGATCTGCAGCATGAATGCTTACTCGGGTTACCCGTCACATAATATCTGTCACTTGCATGTTCAAGGAGGGATCTGGAGACGGCCAGTTAAGAATATCGAAGCTGAGGTTGCAAGTCCGTTAGCTCACTTTGCAAAGAGAGTTGAAGGCTCGTTGGTAAAAACGTCTATTCGTAATTGCGTAAATCATGGGGTATGAGGAGCGTATGTGCAAGGCCGGTCTATATACAGAGCCTGTCCGGCCAACAAGACTCCTAAGAACATCCATACAATCATCCACATTCATTCCAGGTATCATCCAATCCAATCCAATCAACTCCCATTCAAAGACCAATTTGTAGCAACAGGCATCTATGCGTTCTCGTAGCGGCCAGCCTCAACATCCTTGGTAGCGATGATGGAGTTGAAGTCGACGTTGCCCTCCTCGCTGGTACCGACGCTGGACTCGTTGTAGGCGTCAAGCTCCTTGCGCTTGAAGATGTTGAGGTAGATGGGGTAGGCCCAGGCGATGACGAAGAAAGCCAGGGGCACAACCATGGCGCGCTGGGTGCCAATGTGGTCGGCAACGTTACCAAGGATGACGGGAACAACAGCTCCTCCGGAAACCGAAGCTACAATGAAGGAAGCACCACGCTTGGTGTGGCGACCGAGACCACGGAGGGTGGTAGCGAAGATGATGGGGAAGATGCAGGACTCGAAGAAGAGCACGATCATGAGCAGAGCAAGACCGCCCCAGTTGGGAGTGGTAGCGGTACCGGTGTTGACGCCAATGGCGGCGGCAAGGAAGACCATGATGGCAGATTGGTAGACGAGGAGGACAATGCGGGGCTTAAGACCGATGTACATAAAGCCGGCAGCACTGAAACGACCGATGGCGAAGAGAGCCTGAGCGATAGCGTAGTAGTCGGAACCCTTGGTGTGCGCATCGGTGACGCTCAAGTTGGGGTGGGCCTGGACGAAGTAGTTGATGAAGAAAGAGGCGATACCGACTTGAGCGCCAACGTAGCAGAACTGAGCGGCAACACCGAAGAAGAGAGTGTACTGCTTGCGGAGGGGCTTGTCCTGGTAGCCGGTGGTGGCGTTCATCATCTCAGCCTGGTCGGCCATGTCGGAGTCGGTGATTTCAGGGATACTGAAGAATGTTAACCATCTTTCTCTTTTCGAATTGAATTGCACAATTGACTTACGGAGCGAAGTAGAAAACGACACATAGGATGCCGACGAAAATGGCGATGCCAAGGTAGACATACTGGACGGCCTCGAGAGACTGAAGTGAATGTTAGCCAAACTTCATCCATACCAAATAACCGGGTTTCTTGCCTTTCCGTCGGACCCAACATGCTTGAAAATTACACGTGATGCGAGAAGAGGAGCAACAACTGAGCCGACAGCCTGGAAAGACTGTGAAAGTTCGAGACGGAACTCTGCCCACTTGGGGGGACCGCACACAGCGATGTAAGGGTTGGCAGAGGTCTCCAGAGTAGACAAACCAGAGCCGACAATGAACATGGAACCGCAGAAGCCACCGAAGCTTCGCTTGACAGCGGAGGGCCAGAACATGAGGGCACCGACACAGTAGATGCCAAGACCGAGCATGAAAGTGTAGCGGTAACCGAACTTGCGCAGGAACCAACCAGAGTATGTCAGAGGACCAATGAAGTAGGCACCAAAGTAGGCAGCCTGAAGACCAGAAGACTCTCCCTGGGTAATGTTCAGAGCAACCTGGAAGCGGGAGTTGAGGACGTCAAGAAGACCGTAGGCGAAACCCCAAAGGAAGAAGAGGAGTGTGACCATGCAAACGGGAATGATGGATTGCCTGGTGGTCAACTGCGAAGCACCAGTGACAATGCGGTTGTCGATGCTCTTGCGGCGGACATCCTCATTGACGACCTCGACAGCGGAGGGACGGCGAGCCTGCTGCTCGTGGACCTGGTCCAGAGTAGGCTCCTGAGAGCCGTTGAGTCCGAGAACCATAATGAGATGTGGTTGGACGGTTGGACTGTTCAAAGAGAGGATAATAAAGAGGATCCGAAGAGTCCCAAGAGGCAGATGCTCAGTACTGATGAGGTCGGAGAACCTTGAAGCTGATGATGATCAACGAGGGGATACTCGACTCATTATATCTTCTCCCAGCTTGTGTGCGACGAGGCATCGCGACATGGCTGGTGCCATCCAGACCCAAACTGCTCAGGCCAGTGATCCTGGGCTGGCGTTAGCAGAATGCGGCTGCGATGCCGGTCTGGAGAAGACTAGAGTATTGCACTACTGCGTCGACCCGCCCACCTTTTCCCCATGGTCCGCAAATTTTCTTGTGGGCGGCGCTGTGGTTGGGCGAGAGCAGGAACAGTCTCCCTTAGCACCCAAGTTTGCCCCCCGAAAGTGCAGCCGAGAGCGCAGCAACTTGGTAGGATGTGCCAATCAAAACTTGCAGATACAGAGCTAAGGTTATGCATGCATTTGACCCCAGGCTGCCCCACTTCAGTTGTTGAGCCTCAGAGGCTCAAGGTGAACGAGTCCAGTGAGACCTGGGGCTCCACACCAATCTCCACGACACAACCCCATGGAGATGCCCAACAAAGTGGGCCCGATGGAATGGAGCAGGTATCGCGTGGAGCGCGGGGTCCCCGTGTATCGCTGGTAGATCGTGTTCCCACAACTCAAAAAAGTGTACCCCCCTTACCCAGATCGCATGATGGCAGTGGGCATATGCGCGCTGATCTGAGATTCACGATGGCAAAGTCCAAGACGTACACAAGCAACTGAAGGCAAGGCTTGCCAAAGGGCATTGGTTGGCAAGCGAGCTTGTACTGCCTTAAGGAGTCTAGAGGGCTCTTATGACGCTAAATCTCCGCAGAGGAAATCGAGACTAGCATGGGTTTCTTAGCTTGTGGCCAGTGAAGACGATGCGGCGCTCTGGTCAGACGACAGCATGGGTCGTTTAGACTGCAGTCGACAATGGGTCTTGCTGGTCGCCTCAACCGTGAGTCTGATTCGATCGTAACGTAACCGGGCTCACGATAGCCTGAGCGATTATAGACAACCACACCTGTGGCTTTCCCAACCATGACGACTTGGAATTTGAAAGCAGGGTTGTGGCTCGGCAGTTAAGAGAGGTAAACGAGCTGACTACCGCAGAGGGAAATACACGGCGCATTGACTGTTTTCAACTGCTGTCTGTGCTATCCGTGCAGCGCGCGCATACCAGCGGCACCTATCCTTGTGACACGCACACACAACAGCAACCACGATCCATCTTCTCATGTACCAGCACCGACACAAGTCTTGCCATCATCTCGTCTGTGATCCTCAGATTCACGCCAACCCCACGATCTCAACTAACTCTCCACGGGGACTCTGCCTTGCATTACCCCTCGCAGGGTGAGCTCAAGCTTGAGCTGGAGGCCTTCAACGCCGCCTTCTAGCTGACTTCTAGCGGGTTTCTGTGCATGAAGACTCGCATCACTCTGACGTATCGATGGGAGTTGGTACAGGCAGTGGTGTTGCGATTGGTCGTGACATGTGTAACTGATAGGCCTGCGGAGGGTTTGTCGGCCGCGCTAAGGCGAGAGCTACCTTGGCAAGCGCAATAGCTCACGTGCTAAGGCGCCCATAGACGGGATCTAGAGCCTCCAAAAGGCTTACCGGGCAGATGGTCATTAGTGCGAATGGTGGTGTATGTGGGTCGTTGAGGCTCAATGGGATCGGAAGACGAGAATGAGAGGGGCCGTTGCTTCCTTGGCCACGGACTATCTCCAGCCTTGGGAAAGGAGCGTGCCTCAACACAAGGGGATCGTACATTTTCAAGATAGTCCGCCTGACGAGGCGTCTCAGCCTGGCCTCCACATGTATTATTGAATCCTCCATCCTCTTCACAATTCAAGCTGTCGTTTCACTTGTGCCAGATGAACATAAGTGGCCAGATGAATGTATGCTCGGTGGCGCATTCCAAAGTCAATCAATACAAATCGTTCGCTGGGCATCCAGAAACAACGGTGGTCATAAAGCCTCGAGGGTTGCGACCAGCAGCATTGGCTTGCAGCAGGAATTTTAGACGATATCGGACACAGCCTTGTTTAGTGAGCCTTCTTGGTTTAGACAAGTTTTTAGGCTCAGGATTCGTTTCGTCGCCGCAAGTTGTCTGCATCTTTGATGAGGATTTGGTAAAGAGGCCTAGTGCAGATGGTCCTTTCTCGATAGGGGACCCGTTGGTATACTTCCTTCCTGAGGAAGACATCTTTTCTTTGACAATTGAACTCTTCTTCTCCTGGAGACAAAGGAGATAGCAGAGCTAGCTCATCTGAATCGGATGGCCGCGTTTCTTGGGAGAATCTAGAGTGT